TGGCAGGGTGTAGGGGATCATACGGGATGTTGAAGATCAAGCCCCAAGTCATCTGCATGTACATCAAGTGCCTTTCCCACTTTGTGACCTCTCCACCCCCTCGTTCTGCTTTCTGCTAGATTCATAGTTGTGACTTTTTGTTTACCCGTGACTGCTCTTTCTTCGAAAGTGGCAGATATCTGTGTATTTTGTGAATCTTACCAAAGGACCAATTTGTTTTTTTTCTTCCTTTCCCTTTGTTGTTATCATGGCTGTGATGGCCAGGGACCGTACATACTTGCTTGTGGCACTCGCGTACTTGCGACTTACTCCTGGCTCTGGATTTGTGGTGCTTGTTGGGCTGGTGAATTTTATTTGTCATTATTTTTAGGGGGCTCCATTTTCATTTTGGTGTGCCCACACTGTTGTGACACCAGACATTCTAGGTAAAGGAGCTGCTTGACTTCGCACATGTGGGCAGCTCTGAGTTAGGACTGAGGGCCTCAGGCAGGAGCACTCACAACTGAACCATCCCTTGGGCCCCAAAGAATCAGCTTTTGGGGGGGGGTTGTGGACACACCCAGTAGTACTCAGGGCTTACTCCTGGCTCTGTGCTCAAGGATCACTCCTGGCAGTGCTTCAGAGTCAATATATGGTACCACGGTCAGCTGCATGCAAGATAAGTGCCTTACCTCCCCTACTATCTTAGGCCCCCAAAGAAGCAATACTTTTGACTGATCTTGTTGAATCTTTACTTTCTAATTTGTTGATTTTTTCTTATTTTTTTATATATATTCTTCTACATTATTTTCATTTACTGTACTTTCCCCCCCAATTTCTTAAATTTGATTTAAGAATTTAAATGTTAGCATTTAAATGTTTTTTAGCTCATTGCAACTTTTCCCTCTGATAAGCATTTAGGTCTGTAGTCTTCTCTCTTGACCTCTGCTATACTCCACAGCTTCAATATGCAGCCTTTTCCATTCTGAGTCTTTTTTCATCTTAACAAATTTGACCTGTTCTTTAGAATGGCATACTTTGTATGCAACCTAAAGGAATTTTGCATATCTTACTTTTGTTTGATCTGAAATTTAATTACCTTAAGGTTAGAGTCAGGAATTTGTATGAAGATATTTACTTGAATTCTGTGAAGGTTGTATTATGATATACTAGTTGGTAGATCATAAATGATCTACAGAGCCATTTCTCTACCCCATGGTGCTCAGGTGCTGGGGAAACATCTGGTACTGGGAATGGAACCTGAGCATGCATCCCAGGACTACTTGGTAAATTTTTCATAGTGTTCTGATGATTTAATGTCTAGTTCTATTAATGTTAAATCAAGTTTTCAAAAGATTTATGCACCGCAGAGCCTGGCAAGCTCCCCGTGACGTATTCGATATGCCAAACACAGTAACAATAAAGTCTCCAATGGAGAGGTTACTGGGCCCACTTGAGCAAATTGATGAACAACGGGAGGACCGTGACCGTGACCGTGTAATATTTCAAATGTTTTCAAGTATTTGAGATTTTCATTTTGTGTATCACTGTTTATACCTCTCAGGAACTGAGGTATGTTAGAATCCAATTAGCTGAATTTTGTGTTTCTTCTTTTAATGTTTGTATTAGGTGAATACAGGTTGATTTATTATTTTTTGGTTTTGGGGCAAGCTGGTAGTTGTGTGTGTGTGTGTGTGTGTGCGCGCGCGCGTACACGTGTGTGTTTTGAGGGGCTCACAAATGGTGCTCAGAAGGTCTGTGGGTCCCACTGTGGATTCTCAGCCACCACTGATTTAGTGCAAGGCCCCAAGGATGTGGTGCTGCTTAAGCCCTGCAATGGTGAGGATACCCGGGTCACTCTGGGGGTACTAGAGACCTCCAAGGCCACACCCAGGGGGCCTCAAGGGATCATGTAGTGCTGGGAATTGAACCTGGTAGGGTGTACGATGGGCATGTGTCCTAACTCTTGTATTATTCCCCTCTTTTCCCAGTGGTTTTCAGGGGACCATGTGCAGCAGGAGATCAAATGCAGGCCTCCTGTGTGCTAGTCATGTGCTTAGCCCATTGAGCTATTTCTCTGGTCCAATGCAAGTTTAGAATTGTAGGGCCAGAGAGATAGTACAGGGGTTAGAGCCTGGGTTCAATCCTGGCACTGCATATGGTCCCCTGAGCACTGCCAGGGGTCTGTACTGAGCACAGAGGCAGAAATAGCTTCTGAGCACCGCCAGTTGTAGCCCATCCCCTTCCCTTTCTTAAAAAAAAATAGAAAAAAAAAGAATTGTATTATTTACTTGGTGAATGGAAACTTTGTCATTGATGTGGGGATCCATCTAAAAAAGTGTGTGTTTAATATTAGGTTTCTTTTGGTTTTTACTTATGAATTTATTCAGTTTTTAGTTTTTTGTTTTTGGGTCACTCCCAGTAGTGCTTAGGGATTACTCCTGGCTCTGTGCTCAGGGATCACTCCTGGAGGGGCTTGGGGAACTGTATGTGGTGCTGGGAGTCGAACCCGGGTTGGCCACAAGCAAGGCAAATGCCTTACCTACTGTGCTTTCTCTGTAGCCCCAGCTTTTCATTATTGTATCTCAACCAGTCAACATTGGATCAAAGCAGCAAAAACATTATTATGAGTGACACAGCCCTGGGTATTTGCTCTGGGGATTAAATATTTCACAACTGTGGGAACTCAAAAAACTCTGCACGGCTGTTGACTTTGTCTCTGTTGAGCCTGAAGTTGCAAGAGGTCAGCCTTTGTAGAAGTCAGGAAGGAGAGGGTTGGGTTAAGAGTAGGGCAAGAGAAAGAACAGAACCTGCCTATGCCCCAGTGCAGGGATACTTGGCACAGCTGTGCAGGTCAGAAGGCCCTAAGCATGGGCTTATGGAATACTCAGACCTAGGGTGCTGGGAACCACCAGAGCCACCCCTAGAGGTCTTCAGAGGCACCAGAGCTACTCCTAGAAGAGCTCAGGTGATCACGAGGTGCCCGAGATCAAACTCAGGGCCTTGTGTGGGCCAGGTATGTGCTCCAGCCCTTTGGGCTATCTCCCCAACCCCTCAAGGCTCCTCATGTTGATGATGGGATGATCTGGAAGAGACATTGCTCTCTGTGGCGTTGAACCCTGAGGAACTGAAGAAGGTGCTTCCAGCTGGAGCTCAGGCTGCTGTGACCAGACACTGCCCTGTCCCTGTCCAGTGAACTCAGCAGCTGTGTGTCCAAGCTGATACGTTCTGAACCTTTGACACAACTTCAGCCTTCAGCAAGTGAAACCTGTGGCTTGGACACTTAAGCTGCCAGGTCTCCGACAAATTTCTCTTGTGGCCTCTTGGGGGAGGGCTTTCTGTGAGGAGCAGTCCCAGGGGGCTGATGGCATAAAAAACACAGCATCATCGAATTTGAGGATCTCAGGACGCTGAAACTCTATTCTCTCTCTCTCTCTCTTTTTTTTTTTTGCTTTTTGGGTCACACCTGGTGATGCACAGGGGTTACTCCTGGCTTTTGCACTCAGGAATTACTCCTGGTGGTGCTTAGGGAACAATATGGGATGCTGGGAATCAAACCCGGGTTGGCCACATGCAAGGCAAACCCCCACCTGCTGTATTATCGCTCCAGCCCCTCTATTCTCTTTCAACCCCTGTGATATTCTCCAGTACCTTGGTTTATTCTTTAAATTTCACAAATCGGGAACCATCACGGTAATTATTGTTTAAAGATGGTGTTTAAATGTGTCTCACACCCATTTCTCAGCTCACCATTGTTTTCTGCACCTTAGATCATACATCTGTGATCTTCCTTCTCCCAAAGGAGAGCCTTTGGAAATTCTTTTATTGTAGTTCTGATGGCAGTAAACATTTTAGCTTGCCTATCAATGTCTTTTCCTTTCTGAAAACAATTTCTCTCTGCCTGTTTTGAAGGTCATCTCTTTTTTTTTTTTTTTTTTTTTTCTTTTTGGGTCACACCCGGCGATGCTCAGGGGTTACTCCTGGCTCTACACTCAGGAGTTACTCCTGGAGGTGCTCAGGGGACCATATGGGATGCTGGGAATCGAACCCGGGTTGGCTGCGTGCAAGGCAAACGTCCTACCCGCTGTGGTATCTCTCCAGCCCCTGAAGGTCATCTCTTAAGTTGGGTTTTATGTGGTTTCACTGGGAGGGATCTGCACGTGGACTTTTTTCTTGCTTTCCTTAGTTCTGGAAACTTTGAGCCCTTTTTCTCTTTGGATAATGCCTATTCTCCTTTGCTTCTTTCTCTGGAAATCCAATGAGATGAGTGTGTGTAATCTTATTCTCTTTCATACTTAATGTTTCCTTCATTTTTTCTGTCTTCCTGTGCTGTACTCTGGGGAATTTCTTTTTTTCTTTTTCTTTTTTTCCCCTTTATTTGTTCTGGGAAATTTCTTTCATTTTTATTAACTCTTAAACTGCATGTAATCCCCCTGCCTGAGTGTTTTGAGAGTTTGGAGGTTTGAGCAGAGGAGCGCAGCTACTGGAACACTCTCGACCAAAGAATGGTCAGTCTCTGGGGAAGCTGTCCTTGGCCAAGCATGCAGCTTCGGGAGGGGCTCTCAGGGAGCCGCGAGGGAGCACGGGGACCTCTGCCTTGCCAGCCAGATCAGCCAAGTCCACCCTGTGATCCCTGAGGCGATGGGGTGTCACAGCTAGATCAACTTGACACTCTCATGTGTTCTTTTGTTTCAGGGAGACCACACTCAGTGGTTCACTGGGGCAACTTCTGACTCTGTGCTAAGGGGTTCACTTGGGGTAACCTGGTGGTGCTTGTGGGATCATTTGGTATTGGGACCAACCTAGGCCCCTTATTTGCCTGTTTTGATAATTTCACATTTCATTTGAAAAATTTATATATCTGTGTTTTTATTTTATTTTAGTTTGGTTTGGGGGATTACTTCTGTCAATACTCAGGGCTTGCTCCTGGCTACAAAAATGTGAAAATACCTAATTGCCCGTTATTCAGACACAGAGTGCCACACACTCTGGTCTGTCTTCACTTCCCGATAGCCACTTACCCTGGTCACAGACTTATTGGCCTCCCAGACGCGGAGAGATGGGTCCTTGTAGACCTCCTTGATGGAGGTAGGAACTCTGTAGGAATCAGTGTAGGTGCTGATGGGGGTCTTGGTCTTACGTGAGAAGAGGAACATATCAGGCCTAGGGATGCTGTAATGGGCTCTGCCAATCAAAGGCCCCTGGAAAGGATCCGTGAGCACCGTCTCTTCCGGACAGCCAACAATTTGGCCTGGCAGGTCTCCCTCGCTGTTGTAAGTAACCCCTTGATTTGGAGATCTCTCAACTTTCCTTCCACCACTGTCTTCCTGCTCCTACGACATCCTGCTTGCCCTCCCACCCCCTTGGCAGGCTGGCATTGCCCATTATGATATCACCTGGCTGAGGGAGGAGGCTCAATTTCCTCCCAGTCCCCAGCCTCTTCCTGCCTCAAGTCTTCCCAAAGACCTCAATTTCCAAAAGTCCCAGGGGCTCATGGAGATCTGAGGTCAAGTGCCTCACTTGGATGAAGAGGATCAAAGAGGATCAAAGGTGCTGAGGGGTTCGAGCAGCTTGACTGGGGTAGGTGCAGGCCTGACCCGGGATTCCCAGGCCGGGGGTGGGTGTGGGGTGTGCTGCCCACTCCGTCCATCAGTTCCCCACCCACCTCCCCTTTGCCCATACCCAGGTAAGGGAGTGGAGGCTAGCTTTGTTTGATGCTTTTTAATATCATTATTTGTGTTACACGATACACAACCAAGGATGATGATCAATACTGCGATGGAAAATGTTAAAAAAAAATATTTTACACGGCTCATGTCTTCCACACACCTTTCTGGAAATAAATTAGTGAGCGCGGAGAAACCTGGCTGGGTGGCAGCCGGAGCTGGGGGTAGGGGGAGTGTTAAGGCAGTATCTACAAGGGCGGAGGATGGCGAGGGGGTAAGCTAAGGCCTCGGTTCCTCCCCTCAGAGCTCCCAGGCCGGGTAGCGGGGACCACGCACTCTCCTAGACCCAGACTGTTCCAGCTACCAGCTTCATCCCTCGCTCCACACTTGCATTCTGCCTTGTTGGAAGCCCTCAGCTGTCAGGGCACTAGGTTATAATCCTGGCGGGTGTCGAAGTGGGGGTGGGGCGGGGAGTGTCCCCCTGGCTCCTCAGGTCCAGAGAGGTGGAGCAGTGGGCCAGATTCTACACAGCAAGCCAGCAGCACATCAGAAGTCTAACTGAGCCCAGATCGGGTGCCCTGTCTGGAAAAGAGGGGAAGACCCCACCCCTACACTCAAGGGCTGGCATCTGGGGGTGATGGTGAGAGCACTCTGGGGCACAGGGACTGGGAGAGGGGCTTCAGAATGGTTCCTCGCCTTCTCACTGGTATATTTTGGCATCATCCAAGCCTGTACCGGAGGAGGTGGTGTGGATGGGAGATGCTGGAGGTTGGGGGGGAGATGCACCCCAATCCTTTGGAGTTGGAGCCCCCCAGGTGTGACTGGGGAGAAGTGCTCTCCTTCCCAAGCCAGCAGCCTTATCTTGCCTCTCCCCCACGCCTCCAGCACCCCCGTTCCCAGTGGGGATGGGGGGTTGGCCAGCATGGAGGAGTGGATCCCCCACTGGGAGAATTGAGGTGTTGGTAGGGTAGGCCTGAGTAGTCTGAGGCTTCCCTTTTACTTTGCTTTGGGGACAGTCCCGGGGGAGGGCCTTGGCCACTGCATCTCTCCAGACCTTCATCCTTAGCTGTGGGCAAGCACCCCAGGCAGCAGCAGCAGCAGCAGCAGCAGCAGCAGCAGCATCTACTTCCTGATATCCAGACACCCCTGAGCAGCTTACACCCACCAGGTAGCGCCCCCCCCCCCCCCAGCACACATTCCCACAGACCCTTGGCGTGGGGTTAGACAGACCCAGGTCCCAGTCCCCCCTCTCTCGCCTGCCCACAGAGACTTTCTTGGGAAGCCGCCCTCGCATTCTTGGACACCCAGATGCAGCCCTGGACGCCTCTCTAGACGTGCCTGAGAGGACGCTCCTCGAGGCAGGAAAAGGCTGTCGTCGTAGCCGCAGTTCGTCCTGGTTCATGCACACTGAGGTCTCAGGAAGGCCAGCCAGCAACTTGCCCAGAGAGCTCAGCTGGGCCCAGAACCGACACTGTCCACAGATGCCTTATCCTTCCCCTGCCACGGCCACTGACACCTACAGTCCACGCAGGCATCTGGTGGACACGGCACACAGACCCAGGCCCCAGAAGCCATGGACACAGCCACCCTCTGCTCGCTCTCCCTGCCTGCCCGGGACAGCAGCTGCGTGCTCCTGGGCCTCGGAAGAGGCTGACTTGCAATGGGACCCTTGAGGCCAGCCTCACCTCCTGCTTCCAGCCTGGGACGGGGACCCCTGAACAGAGGCTGCTGTGGGTGAGGAGGGGATGGTGGCTGAGTGACAGAGGCTTTTGCCTAAGGGGCCGGTGTGGATAAGATGGCATGACCTCAAACCGACAATCACTAAAGCCTACCTTACCTGCCCGGCACGACCTCAAACTCTCACAATCACTAAAGCCCACCTTACCTACCCCTCCAGCCCCGAGCCAAGAAGAGGGCCAACAGGGCAAAGAGGAGGAAGAAGGCAGTGATGGGGACGGGGCGGGGTGTGCAATGTCCAGCTGGGCAGCTTGGCAGGTCTTCCCGTTTGTAGCCAAGGGGAAAACAGGGTCAGCCAGGGGTGCCAAGCCGGGGGTTAAAGGTGCTGGCCCTGAACCCGCTAGCTCTTGCCTTTCTTCCTCTCAGCCCCCCACCCTTGGCTTGTCAGGCTGTGGATGCGAGTGTTCATGGCTTTGCTGGGGTGGGGCCAAGCCCCTGGCTTTGTGACCCCTCCCCCCTGCTCTTTGCACACCGCCTCCCCCAGCCCACCCCTGGACCTCAGCTACGGGGAGGGGAGGGCGCTGGGCGAGGTCTGCTCTCCCCGCAGGTTAAATGAACCAACAGCCCCCCACCCCCCTACCCCGGGTGGAGAGAGACCCGCTTTGGGTTTCTCCGGCTCCATGGACACACAGAGGTACATGTCCTACCATAGGAGGAAGCAATGACTGGTACGAGGTTGGCGGCTGTTTGGGGATGTGGGGGCCGGGGGGCAGGCGGATGAGTGGCGGGGAGGGCTCTCTGCCCCTTGCCCCATCCAAACCCGGCCCACGGGCCCTGCCCCGCTCGGCCGCGGGGACCCCGCCCGCTACTGAATGTGGCAGGCGGTGGAGGACGTGGCCTGGCAGCACATGCAAGTGGGGTTCACGGACTTGGGGGGGATGAGGTCCAGGTCCTCGTCGTCGGGGATCTCGTCTAACCGGTAGCCGTCCTTCAGCAGCTGGATGTTCAGATCCTGGTTGATCTGCTGTAGGCAAAGGGCAGGGAGGTCGGTCTCGGGGCATCAGGGAGACCTGACGTCTCCCGGGAAGTCCAGGCTTCCACCCTACCCAGGCCCCGCCTCCCCGGGGACCCCACTAGGGCTAAATTAGGCAACTTCCCACAAAAGTATCCATTCCGGTGTGAGGTCTAGAGGCCACGCCCCTCCCCGCCCACCACCCGAGGCCCCGCCCCCAATGGCCCGCTAGGCTCTGCTGGGACGTGGTTCCTCCTGGATGCGTTTAAGGCAGGGAGAGGTAGGGGCCTCACCTCCGCGGAGGAGTAGCCAGAGGAGGAGTATCTGGACATGTCAAAGTCATCATCGCTGGCCATGGAGAGAGAAGACAGGGAGGGGAGTGATTGCTGGAAGCGTAAGAGAAAAACTGCCAGCACCCTCTTCCCCCAAGAAAAGTCAAAACGCTCCCACAGTGCCACAGAATCCAGGCTCAATACAAAACACAGTTGCTGTGTAAAGGGGGCCGGACAGCAGCGAGGGTATCTGCCTCGCATGCGGCTGACCCAGCTTGGATTCCAGGCACCATACTTGGTGCCTCAGAGCCCTGGCAGGAGTGGTCCCTGAGTGCAGAGCACCGGAGCCCCACCAGGTGTGGTTCCAAAACACACTAAAAAATAAATAAAAACAAGAATCGCTTTCTGTGCAAATGCAGTCCTGAGAGGTCCCTTGATCCCCCCTTCTAAATTGACCATCAGGGGCTGGAGCAATAGCACAGCAGGTAGGGCCCTTGCCTTGCACGCGGCCAATCTGGGTTCGATTCCCAGCATCCTATATGGTCCCCTGAGCACTCAGGAGTAATTCCTGAGTGCATGAGCCAGGAGTAACCCCTGTGCAATGCCGAGTGTGACCCCAAAAGAAAAATAAATAAATAAATAAATAAATTGATCATCACCCCCTTGGGTTTAGAGGGGTCAGTGAGGGGGAGCCGGAGACACAGGAGGGGGTAAAATTATTTTTTCCTCTTTTTGCACCACACTGGGCTAATGCTGGGGACTGAGCCTCGGTCAGCAGCATGCAAGGCAAGTGCCTTACCCACTATTTCTTCGCTGAAGTCTCTTGACTTCTCAATTTCCTTCTAAATAGAGCTGCTACTCCCTTCTCTCCCATACACTCCCTCTACCCCCCCTTTTTCCCCTTGTCTCAAATGATCCTGATTTATTGCATTTTCCCAAAGTCCAGGTCTAGCCAGGCAAGTTCCAAGAGGGGGGGAGGAGGCCTCTCAGGGGGCAGGGGTAGAGGCAGGGCCTTGAGCATCACAGCTGCTTTCCAGAGACAGCTTGGGGCCCATTTTATGGGATCGTCACTGACAGCAGCAGACTGTCTCTCCCTCACCTCCAGGTAAAACATTCCTTGGGAAGTTGCCCTTGGCTAGCTGCTGGCTAGCTGTGGGATGCCCCAATCCTGACAATCTAGTGGGCGAGGGCTGTCCATCATTGGTGCTTTCCGTGGGTTCCCAGGGCCCATCTGGCTGTCCCCACAGTCCCCATACACACCTGTCCGTATCCAGGGCCACCAGCGGCTTCTCATCTGGGCTCTGATCAAGTGAGGAGTAGCCTTTATTGGGGACGACCAGCCTGGGTGGAGAATTTGGGAGACTGCATTGGCAACTGGACCACACAAACCTGGCCAGGAGCTGAGTTGGGTCCTGCACCCCACTCCTGCTCCGCGTGTCCCCCGCCCCCCTCATCCTGGGTCCAGTTGCAGTCCACTCCCTTTCAGAAAGGAGCTGGGCCTGAGGAGGGAGGGAAGAGGAGGGAGGGAGACTTGGGATGAGCAGTTGCTGTTGGGCAGGTGGGTGGGGTCCAGGTGGGGTCGCAGGGGCCTGTACCTTGTCCGGGCCATGACGTTGTTCTTCTTGGGTTGCTGGTTGACGGGGCTTCCCATGCTGCCGCTCTTCAGGGAGCCCTTTCGGGCGAGCTCCCGTTGCTTCTCTGCAGGGGCACAGAGGAAGGAATCTGTGTCCCACCCTCAGAGCCCCTTACCTTCTGCTCCAGGCAGCCTGGGCGGGGCTTCCATGGGGAAATCCCTTGTCTCTCTAGAAACCGAGGCAGGGAATTGCAACTCTCTCCCCCGCTTGGTGGAGGCAGTTGTGGGCTGTGCCCAGCTGAAGGCACTCGGGTCAGTGAGGGGCAGGAGCTGAGTATGTGTCAGAGGACTGGATGGAGGGACAAAGCAGCTAGTGAGGGTCTCCTGCAGGCACTGCCTGGCGCTGGAGGGGCGAGGGCCTCTAGAAGGAGGGACGATGTCTGCCACTCATATGAGCCCAGGAGATCAGGCCGGAAAAGGAGGATACGTTTCTTCAGTAAACTCTGCCTCACTAGCGATGTCACGGGTCCCACATGGAGGGGCTAGGGACTTCCTTGGAGGGCAAATCAGAGCCTGAAGGTCTCAAATTCCAGGGGCTGACGGGGCAGGAAGGGAGAACCAGTGACGGTTGTGGAAGGGAGGGGATAGAATGAGGCTCAGAGCGTAGAGGGCAGGAAGCTGGAGAACCCTCTGCCAATCTCTCTTTCTCAGTTCTCTGAGGCTCCAGAGCCTGCCAGGCCCACAGGTCCGGGGGACTGGGCCATCAAATGATCCGCTGCCCAGTGTGTGTTTCTGTCACCAGCAGCCAGGAGTGACTGCCTGGGCCCTGGAGGAAGCTGCATGTTCTTCCCTAACTGTCGCCAGTAAAGACCAGGTGGAGAAGAAAAGATTATTAGGTGGAAAGAGATGTCAGGAGAAAGGTCTCATAAAATAACCACCAGCTCCATAAAGGGAGGACAGGAAGGACATTTCTAGCTACTGTGATACTGGGATTTCTCCTGACCTCCTGGTCCCCTGTCTTTAGCTTTCTCTGTTCATCTGACTGCGGGGGAGGGGGTGGGAGGTGGGGAGGTGGGAATGTACCATCCTCTTTCCAGGCTGGAGGTAGCTGCTATTACAACCCCAGGCCTCTAGGGGGTGCACTCTGCCTTAAAGTTCCTGGTGGTGATTTTCCTGTCCGCAACTGAGATAAGGGGGTGAATTCTCCTAAGGAGCTTTGGTGGTACAATAATGGGGAGGCAAAATGTTATTTTTATTTTATGCTTTGCTTTTTTGGTACACACCCAGCTGCGCTCGGGGCTTATTCCTGACTCTGTGCTCAGGGATCACTCCTGGTGGGGCTCGGGGGACCATATGTGGTGGCTAGGATGGAATTTGGGTTGGCCATGTGCAAGGCAAGCACCGTCCCTGCTGTGTTATTGTCCCAACCCTAAAATGTTATTTTAAAAGCTTTTTTAAACTGTCTGAAACAAAAAAAGAATTGCTAAGAATACAGTGGAAAACCCAAACTATGAACTACTATGCAACCATTTAAAAGACCGAAGTCAGACTGAAGACATAGCCCAGGGGTTGAAGCATTTGCCATGCACTCTGGCCCTGCACATGGACCCCTGAGCACTGCCAGAAAATGACCCTTTAGCACAGCTGGATGTGGTCCAACCTCCCCCCTCTCAAATAAGATAAAAGATTTTTAAATTTTATTTTATTTGAGATAAATAAGGGCCCCAGAGCTTGCTCACAGGGCTAGAGCACATGATTTGCAGGCAAGAGGCCCAGGCTATATCCTTTGCATCTCATGGTCCTTTGAGCACCACTGGAAGTGACCCTGTTGCACAGAGCCAAGAGTGGCCAATGAACACCACTAGGTATAGGAAAAACCAAAAATCAAACCAAAACACAAACCAAACAACATCAAAAGAAAAAAAAACCACCCCTCCAAATAAAGAGTAAAAGAATGAAGTCATTCTTATTACTCTAAGTACAAAATAAAAATAAGTTTTAGAAAAATGTGATCAAAATGATAGCACTTAAGCGAAAATACAAAATAAAACTGGGAACATTGAAAGAGGTTGGAATGATCGTCTCTAGGGAGGAGAATGTGAGGAGGGAGGGAAAGAACTCATCCTCGTTAAGATTCTTCTATTGTTAAATTCAACGGTAATGATGGGTTCCATCCCTAGCTCCATGCACACAAAATTAAACCATAATGAACATATAAAACTGGCTGCAATTGGAATCTGATGTCCTAAGAAGACGAACCAAGTTCAAGGAGCGAACTGTCCTTTCCTTTAGAAAAACAGCCTGAGGGGCTCCCGGAATGAGTCTGGCAGGAGAAAGAGTGAAGTTAAAAAAAGAAAAAAAGAAAAAAACAAAGAGAAAAGAAAGCAAAAAAGAAGAAGCGGCCTCTGGGAAGAAGAGGTGACCGCAGCAGAGGGCACCGGGAAAGCGCCCCGAGGTCAGAGAAGATCCCTTGTTTGGCAGGCGGACAACCTGAGGATAAAGACAGCAGGGTGGCAGGGATGGTGAAGTGGAGGCGGAGAGCTTTTATTTCACTGTCATCTCTTTCCTGTACACACTATGTTGTAATGTCTCCTCAAGAAACCAAAGCTTTGGAAAGTGTTCTACTGAGAAGTTTTGAGTGAGTGAAGCTTTGGTCCCTGGAGCTCTGGAGGGAAAGGGGCAGGATTTGCTGCGAGGAGGAGTGGCAGGGGTGGGGGTGGGGGGTGAGAACATTTGTAGGAACTAGGGGATGAAAGCTGAGAGCCAGTGACTTCAGAGGAGCAGGCTGCAATCTTAGATGACTTTGGAGTGGCCAAGAGAGTGAACACCCAAGAGAAAGGTCACCCTGGCGAGGGATGTGGTTTTCCTAAGAAACCAAAGGGGGGCTCCCTCAGACAGAGCCCAACTGGGCCCTAAGATGTCGAGATGCGCTGAGGAAGGCGTGGGGAGGTGGACTTAGCTTCTAGGCTTTGGGACCCTCCTTTCTTCCACTTCTCAGGGCAGCCAATACACCACCTATAAACAAGGCAGCTTCCTCTCAGCCTGGTCCAAGTGTTTGACAAGACGTCCCACCCTTTCTCTGCAGTTCTCTGTGTGCTTTTACCCCTGAAGTTAGCCCCTGGAAGACCTGCCCCCCAAGACTGCTGGGCACTGCAGCAAACTAACTTCCTCCTGGCCTGGAGGGAGATGCATCACTCCGGGCATTTGCAGTGATGGTCGTGTTGAGTCTCGAAATGGTCTAGACTGAGAACTGACTTCTTTGTGGCCTCTCCTTGCCAGAGCTTGCCCAGGGTACCTCGTCTACTCCCCACATCTCCCTCACCGCCCCCAGACACACTCACCCAGCTTCATTTGGAGCGGGGATGGTTTGTAATTCATGGCTACTGACTCACCCTCCCGGGCGTCACAGTCTCCGTCGGAGATGGAGGCGGCAGCTGGGTCCTGGAGGGATAAAGCAGAGAGAACCAGAGTTGTTGAGAAGCAAGTATGGGGCGCTGCTCTCAGCCTGGAAGCTGACCTTCCTGCCTATCTGGTGAGCTTCCGTGTGTGTGTGTGTGTGTGTGTGTGTGTGTGTGGTGTGTATTTTGAGGGGGGAGGTGGGGGGGCGCAGTGGGCAGCAGGCAAAGAATTCTGGGAAGAGGGATAAACCCATCAATTATGACCGAAAAGCCAAGGATCTAGCCCCAGTCATCTGGATTTCTGTCTTCAAGGTTCTCTGTGATCCAGCCTCCTCCAGGAAGTCCACCAAGATCCCTTTGACCACCAGGAAGCTTCCTAAACTGGTTACCCTGCTCCTCATGCCCTTTCTGTGTGCTGCTTTGGAAAGGTTGATCTAGCTTCCTGTGACATTCTGGATGAAGGTCAACATAGGTGCTTTGTGAGATAGGCCTCCTTCCCCTGTTTGTTCTAGTCCTGGACAGGTCCCTTGACAGGACCCAGGGAACTGACTGGCCAGGCCAGGTTTCAAGGTGGCAACCACTGGGTTGTATTGAGTTCTGACAAGGAGTTCTCCATTTTGTGCATCCTACATAGGGTCTCCTGAAAGGTTGATGGGATAGGGCACGTGACAAGACAATGACAGACCAGCACAGGGTCAGTAAACCCTATGCTTCTCTGAGCGCCAATGTGGGGCCCAAGTCCATGAATGACAAGCCAGGTACATTCTGGGTAGTGCCCAGGCTGCCCAGGTCAGCGTCCACCTTAGTCGATGGTCAGTCTAAGGGATGTGGACTGCAGAAGGGATCGAGTTGTGCCTGTTCTGCCTCTAGAGGTGTCAAGCTCAGAGACAGACAGAACATTCTAGAACTTCCCCAGTGTGTCTAGCTCGGGGAATCTAAGCGTCTGCTGGTAACTCCACAAGAGAGGAATTAAATAGGGAAGCTTCTATTTATTATTTTGGGGGGGGGGCCCTCACCCAGCATTGCGCAGGATTTATTTCTAGTTTTGTGCTTCAGGAATCCACTTCTGGTGGGCTCAGGACCACATAAGATGCTGGGGATCAAACTTGGGTTAGTTGCAAGCACGGCAAATGCCCTGCCTGCTGTCCTATCACTCCGGTCCAGTTTCTATTCCCTTTAGAAGGAGGCAGTCGGAATGAAAATAAGTTTGTCACTAAGGGGGACAGGAAGAAAGTCTCGAACGTTTGGTTTTGTCTATGTGTTTCCCAACCCTTCCAGGGTGTCAGGCCCTGGGTAGGCTGTGTGGCCACGCCGAGGTTGTGTTTGAGTTCCTGAGGGCAGAGCCTGGGCCTCCGTCCTCTGCTCAGACCTGACCCCTCATCCAGGGTTGAGGAGGAGGAGGGGCAGGGGGCTCAGGAAAGGTTGATGCTGCAGCACCTGCATCTCAGATCACTTCCGGTGCCACAGGCCACTCCCAGACCTCCCTCCTCTGCCCCGCTGGCCCACCTCCTCCTGGAGATACTCCTGACAGCACTGTCTATGGAGAAGCTTTGGAGAAGCAGGCTGCTGAGGCCTCTCTGAGGTCACCACCATCTCCCACGGGTCATCTGAAGAGGGGACTTGCTTTCCCCCATAGGCCACGGGGAGACTCATTCCCTGAGCAATCCTGGGCGGGGGGTCTCACAGGCTCGGTCCCATAAATGTGCCGGGGGGGGGGGGAGGACCCCACCGGGAACATCCCCCTCAGCATGTTCCTTGACTGTTGACGGCATTCACACGTCCCGAATCCCAACCCATCTGGAAGTAGTTTCCTTCCGATCCTCAGGACATTGTGCTCCTGAGATCATTTCACCTCTTTGACCATCGTTTCTGTCTTGCCCTCAGCTCTCCTTTGTCTCCATGGGGAACGCCCGATGTCTCTGAGAGTTTGGATGAGCGTTTTCCCACTGAGGACATGCATGCGGCCTTGTATGCATACACCTGCTCTGTGACCCTCCGCCCGTCCCGGGAGGGTGCGGGCACACTGTCCTTTCCCTGTGCCGGACTCTGGAGGCGGGAGCTGCAGCCCTGGGGGCAAAGCTGTCTCTCCCGAGCTCAGGTGCCTCTGTCAGAGCCGCTTTCTATCTGGAACCTGCGGTGTGGTATTGGGAGTTGTTGGGCAACTCTGGCCACAGGGACCCACACAGAGTCTTTGAGGCCTTGGGGTAGGCCCTGTTGGCATTTGACCCCTGAAACTGCCTATCCCTTTGGGTCATGAGCCAGGGTGCAAAGCGCTAGGCTGAGAGGTCCCATGCTGAGCGCCCCTCACTCAGCATTGCCCCTGTCACTTAAATCCTGTCTTAGAGACAAGAACAAAGGTTTCTGGCACAGTGCCTGCAAACACAAGCCCTTGCTGTGGCCTTTCTTCATGTCTTTCCTGAGAAACACAGCCAAGGCACTGAGACCAGCGCATGGAAATGTAATCAGGGAGATTAAATGTGAAATAGTCATGAATATAAGTATCAGAGAGGAATCCGGGCAGAAGGAAGTGTCTGGCTCCAAGAAATTAGGGAGAATTTAAAATGCCCCCAAGGACATCTGACAGGAGTTAGCTAGATCCGGGAACCAGAGTGGGGATTAGCAAGATTATTAATAAACACTCAGCAGAGACAAACAGTGAAATGCATCTCTAACAGCAACCCGTGTTTCTGCAACCCTTCAAACAAATTCTCCAAAGACTGCAGTGATGATTAATAGCCCAGTCACACTGTTTCTGGGACAGGATATATATGCTAATGGCTAGTGTAAAGTCAATATAACTAGAGGAAGACAAAAAGTACAAAGAGGATCCTGGTTCAGTGTGCTTTCATTAAGCTGTATTGCTTAGCCCTGTGCCCTGGGTGAGGCTGAGGGTGAGACAGAAGCAACAGGGTGCATGTTGTCCAAGGGCTCTTTCCTGTACTGACCCACTTTCATCTCATTTATTTTATTTTTTTGCTTTTTGGGTCACACCCGGTGATGCTCAGGGGTTACTCCTGGCTCATGCACCCAGGAATTACTCCTGGCGGTGCTCGGGGGACCATATGGGATGCTGGGAATCGAACCTGGGTCGGCCATGTTGGCTGCGTGCAAGGCAAACGCCCTACCCACTGTGCTATCGCTCCAGCCCCATTTCATCTCATTTATATATTAGCCTTTTCATGAAATTTCAGTTTGAAATGTTGGATAAAGGATTGCTCCTTTAAAAACAAACAAGGCTAAGGCTCATTTGTTAATCAATCTGATCTGTGAAAATATATTTTACTGGTCTGGGGAAATAGCAGAAAGGGATGAAGCACATGATTTACGTGCTAGGGTCTGGGTTCAATCCCTGGCATCACATGCCTACCCCCAAAACCTCCTAGGAGTGACCGCCAACCATTGATCCTGGCATAGTCCCCTGAGCACCACCTGATGGCCCCCAAACTAAATAAAAAGTTTATTATGAAAATTGTTAAACTTAAATAAAAGCAAAAAGACAGATATTAAAGAGAAAATATAGTGGAATATACTATCTACTATCTACTGCTATATTAAAGAGAAAGTATAGTAGAATCCCAGGTTCCAATCAGCAACTTCAACAAACATCAACTTCTCAATCCATCCTTAAGATCCTGCCTCTTGCTTTAGTAGTTGTGTGACTTGGGCTTCATTTCTCTGTAAATGGACTCACTTGTCAGAAGGATAAGTAGGGGTTTATGTTTGTAAGCCCATATAGTACACACCGAGGGCTACACAGTACACACTGTACATTAAATATAGTAAATGCATTATACTATATAGTATATATGGAGCACTACATAGTATAAACTGAGCCTTACATAGCATATACTGAGCACCAAGTATAGTATACACAAGCACTACATAGTATTTATTGAGCACTATATAGCATATACTTAACACCAAGTATAGTCCATACAAGCACTACATAGTATATACTGAGCACTAAATAGCGTATACTCAGCACCAAGTCTAGTATATACAAGCACTACGTAGTATATACTGAGTGCTATCCAACATATATTCAGCACTCAGTGTAATACACAGGAGCACTATATATATACTCAACACTGAGTATCATCCACATTGAGTGCCATGTCAAAGCTCCCATGCACTGGTCAGCAGTGCAAGCTTGGTGAGGACCACGCTGCCAGGTGTGCCCTGAGAATAACTGAATGGATCATAGCTTTGGTCCTGGTATCACGGTGGGGGAGATACCTGTGGGAGAGGGGCCCCTCCACAGGATAAGGAGGGACCAGGGTGCATTATGCCTCCTTTCTCTCCCCCTGTACCCTGTTGCAGGCTCCTCACTTATTAACGGAGATACAGACTAGGTCTGTTTTCAGGGAACCCCTTAGGAATTATCAGATAAGAAGAGGCATGAAAAGTAAATGGGAAAGAATAATGGGGGAATGAGGGTGATGTGGTCAGAAAAAAGGTGACAGAGAAAGACACCTGCGATTGGAAACCATGAGTTCACCTGTTGTTTTTATTTTATTATTATTATTTTGCTTTTTTGGGTCACACCTGATGCTGCACAGGGGTTACTCCTGGCTCTTCACTCAGGAATTACTCCTGACGGTGCTCAGGGGACCATATGGAATGCTGGGAATCGAACCCAGATCTGCCACATGCAAAGCAAATGCCCTACCCACTGTACGATCACTCCAGCCCTGAGTTCACCTGTTAATTCAGAGGCAGGAGGAAGGAGAGTCTGAGACATGTGTGAAGGTTCACAAGCAGGTCAAGGAAAAGTTGGTATTCTGCCATATTTGAAGTAGGCAGTGCGGTGAAAGGACATGAAGTCAAGGGTTAGGAGGGTTAATACCATAGTGAGAGATGGGCTTTAATTTTGTCCTTTTTTTTCTGGTGTCCCCATCCTCAAACCGTACTCAGGGGGACCAAGGTCATTCTTGGTCAATTGGGACAGTGATTTAATGCAAGTGACAGAGTGGTGCTTCTCAGGTCCTGCAGTATTGGTGGTGGGGGTCTCCACGACCACCTTAGAAGTGCTTAGCGACCTCC